GGTCTTGCTAAGTCGCCCAGGGTGGTCTTGAACTTACAATTCTCCCTCCTCAGACCCCCCAAGTGGCTGGGATTACAGGTGTGCTCCACCACACTTGGCATGAGACATTATATTTTTAGGTTGCTGAATTGGAGAGCACAGAGCCCCCGCAGGACCTCCTGTAGCTATAGAGGATTCTATGAGATTGGTACCTGGTACTGAAAGCAGTTGGTTCCCCTGAGTTCCTATGATATGATGCTGCAGAAAATTACAGCACCATCCAAAGTAATTTTTGCAACAATAAATAATATATATTGAAGGCCTAGCTAGACTTCATGGGTTTTTTTTGTAATGTAGTTTACCCCAGAAAAAAAAAATCAATAGATTTAATTTCAAAGAGATGTGACACAAATCATACTGGAAAGAATGAGGCTTATGGGCCACACCTTAGGCTTAGTCACCACATCCTCACTATCTTCATGAATCAGGGCCTGGCAATTCAGGATATTGCCCTGGTAACACCAGTCACACAACTCATTGAGGGGGAGTATACGGTCCCCTAAAGACACCTCCCATACCTCTCCAACAAAGGATTGTTTTGCATCAAAATGTCCCCCAAAGGAATCCTGCTCTTGTCCCAGGATAATCTTTGCCTCAGCCCCCAGAGAATACCCCTTTCTCAAACCTTTCCTACCCCTGGACCCAGAGCTCAGCAATCCCAGAGGAGGGTTCCCAGCTCTCGCACAAATGGATTGGGGAATAAGGGGACTTTGGTGGGCCTGGAGAGGGGCCTCCGCATGCCCAACAGACAGTGTGAACTCTTCTATTCTGTCAACAAAGAGAAGAAGCTCATTGTCCTGGTCCCCAGTGTTGAAAGAGAAGAGACTATCAGGACAGGTGAAGGCGCTGAAGGACTTCAGACTCAGAGTGAAGTCCCCGCAGCAGCTTCTCCACCTGGGGGATCAGGGACACAGAGGAGGTAGCTGATTCTTGAGGGAAAACAAACACCTTTCCTCTCATATCTGTGGAGAAAAGACAACGAAGCAAAACTCTGTGGACTCACCTGTGTGATTTGCTCTCACTGTGAGCCCTGGGCGGCCTCCTGACAGTCTTGATGTGGCGTGCCGAAGTTTACGGAGTTCCTGCAAGTGCATTGTTTCTGTTAGTGTAAGCAAAATGTCAGTGTTAAAAGGCGGGTTTTTGGTTCAGCTGGCCTGTCAGAAAAGGAGATTAAAGATATCCTATATCAAGCCTACGCCTTCTTTGTTACGGATTTCATCCGGATAACAGTGAAAACACTAGTCACACAAAAGGACCCTCCGATGATGACTTGCTGACTCACTGAGCATCGTGGATAAAGCATGCCACACTCCATATTCTTTTACCACTGATGAGGCTCCGAGATTTCTCCCAAGGGACACGTGTGGTTGGCTATTTGGCTATGATGGACCAACATTTGCGGTTAGGACAAAGTCTGAGGAATACGATAGCCTGCAAACCATGTGGCCCAACCTCAGTGATGCCCTTGACACCCTGTCCATTTCCCTGGGCAGTTCTTGTGGGTCAGTTGGGGGTCAGTTTTCCACAATTTCTCCTAGCTGCCACCCCAGGATCACGGAATTACTTATCATTGACTCATCGAAAGAGTATGATTAGCATAAAAATTATTCTTCTTTTCTTTCTTGGAAAAAATAAACTTAACAAAGACTATGGTCTGGAAAATAAATGAGAAAAGAGTGACTAACTGAATCAAGGGACACAGAGCCTAGAAGTAATAGGAAATCTTGAATCGAGTTCGTTTTGCGTGGGAACTGGGAGAACAGGAGAGGAAACCATGCATCTATACCCTTGATTTAATTCTTTCCCTGTTTGTGATATGCAGCTTTGTCAGGGCTACAGAGCAAAGGCCCACGGCAGACCCAAGGCATCTGTAACAGTCCTTGGTCACTGGTTCCTGTGATCACCCCGGAAAGACTTCTGACACGTTGCTAAAACAGGAGGCCTGAGTTGATGAGAGGAGATAGGGAAATGGGAAAGAAGAGTAGGTCATCTTAGAGAGAAGGGTGGCTCACCACTCCCGCCTGCCAGTTTTATTGGGGGTCTCAGGGAGTCTTGCCCAGGCCCACCCCTTGATGTTTGACTGACAGCAGGATTGCTTCAGAGTTTCACATCCTTAGTGTGCATGCTCTTGCCCCATGGAGGGGAGATTTACTATTACAATGACATGCTAAAGATCCGAGCTCACTCTGGGTCACTTTGGCCCGTGATGACCTGTTCTAATTGAAATTTGCTCTTACAGATCATTAGGGGGTTTGCTTCTAATGATCCTATCTTCCTGAGTTCTCAAATCTGATCTGTGTAAAGGCCACAGAACCCCTTCCCCTTCAGGGTAACTTATATTCTTACAGGCAGGGAGGGATAACCCATTCAGGCCTGCATTTCTTTTGCAGCT